GAAAACAAAGAAACAGCTAATCCCCCCGAGGTCACACACACGCGTACTCACAAGTGCTCACAGGTACAAGTACTCACAAGTACACACATTTACAAGTGCTCACAGGTACAAGTACTCACAAGTGCTCACATTTACAAGTACTCACAGGTACAAGTACTGACAGGTACAAGTACTCACAAGTACAAGTACTCACACGTACAAGTACTCACAGGTACAAGTACTCACAAGTACGCACATTTACAAGTACTCACAGGTACAAATACTGACAGGTACAAGTACTCACAAGTAGAAGTACTCACGCGTACAAGTACTCACAAGCACAAGTACTCACAAGCACAAGTACTCACAAGCACAAGTACTCACAAGTACAAGTACTCACAAGCACAAGTACTCATAAGTACAAGTACCTCATATGAGTACCTCAGTACAAGTACATCCGAACAAAGACCTGAGTACTACTACCTCAGTACAAATACCTCTGTACAAATACCTGTACAAACCTGATTTCAAAGACCTGAGTACAAATATATGATTACAAATACTTGAGTATAATCACCTATTTACGACTACATTTGAGTACATCTACATGAGTAAAAATACCCCAGTACAAGTACCTCAGTACAAACCTGATTTCAAATACTTGATCAAAACTGCCTAAAATAAGTGCCTGAACACAATACCTGAGTACAAATACCTGAGTACAAATACCTGAGTACAAATACCTGAGTACAAAAACCTGAGTACAAATACCTGAGTTCAAAAACCTGAGTTCAAAAACCTGAGTTCAAAAACCTGAGTTCAAAAACCTGAGTTCAAATACCTGAGTACAAATACCTGAGTTCAAATACCTGAGTACAAAAACCTGAGTACAAATACCTGAGTTCAAAACCTGAGTTCAAAACCTGAGTTCAAATACCTGAGTTCAAAAACCTGAGTTCAAAAACCTGAGTTCAAAAACCTGAGTTCAAATACCTGAGTACAAATACCTGAGTTCAAAAACCTGAGTTCAAAAACCTGAGTTCAAAAACCTGAGTTCAAATACCTGAGTACAAATACCTGAGTACAAAAACCTATTTACGACTACATTTGAGTACATCTACATGAGTAAAAATACCCCAGTACAAGTACCTCAGTACAAACCTGATTTCAAATACTTGATCAAAACTGCCTAAAATAAGTGCCTGAACACAATACCTGAGTACAAATACCTGAGTACAAATACCTGAGTACAAATACCTGAGTACAAAAACCTGAGTACAAATACCTGAGTTCAAAAACCTGAGTTCAAAACCTGAGTTCAAATACCTGAGTTCAAATACCTGAGTTCAAATACCTGAGTTCAAATACCTGAGTTCAAATACCTGAGTTCAAATACCTGAGTTCAAATACCTGAGTTCAAATACCTGAGTACAAATACCTGAGTACAAATACCTGGATGAACACATTTTGTACCTGAGGAGAAAAGAGTGATCTGTGAGGACAAATACAAATCAACTAATAATAATAAAACAATGTCAATAGGGTCTTCGCCGACCTATGGTCTCAGACCCTAATAAAAATAATACATTATAATAATATTAATAATAAAATATTAATAATAATAATAATAGTAATAAAATAATAATAAAATAATAATAATTACATATTAATAATAAATATTAATAATAAAATAATGATAAATAATAAGAACAACAATACCAATAATAAGAAAGCAGGTCTGGCTGTATCTAATGGCTTGTTTAGTGCAGAGCTAAGCCCTCTGGGACACGCGGAATAATAATGAAAATAATGGATAATCTCCTCTAATCTGCCTCTTAATGTCCCCTCAGTCGTCTAATCCACGTCTTATTTGTTCCGGGACGAGATGGTGTTTAATCGACTTTGGGAGAATTAGTCATTCCTTATTACCGTGGCGGTTTCTGCGGGACTTTCCTGGAAAATCCCGTTCAACACACATTTCATTTCATCTCTGCGGCTCAATCGTGTTGAGGGCAATGTAAATAATCCAATAACAGTAATCACGGTTTCTTTCCTGCTCGTCCTCGTTGTTCTTCCCTAAAATAGAGCGGATTGGAGACGCTTCACTCTTCTTTATTGGGTTTAGCTCGCGTGGTTTAATAAAATGTCATCATGACCCCAATTACTCAGGATGCTTCTGGTAATCTGAGGAACACCAGAGCACTGTTTCTGTTCCAAACATCAGCTCGTTCACACTTTAAAGAGTCCTCTTCTGCTATATGTAGTGTCTCTACTTTAAAGAGTCCTCTCCTGCTATATGTAGTGTCTCTACTTTAAAGAGTCCTCTCCTGCTATATGTAGTGTCTCTACTTTAAAGAGTCCTCTCCTGCTGATGCTCAGGTGTATATCAGTATGTAGTGTCTCTACTTTAAAGAGTCCTCTCCTGCTGACGTTCAGGTGTATATCAGTATGTAGTGTCTCTACTTTAAAGAGTCCTCTCCTGCTGATGTTCAGGTGTATATCAGTATGTAGTGTCTCTACTTTAAAGAGTCCTCTCCTGCTGATGTTCAGGTGTATATCAGTATGTAGTGTCTCTACTTTAAAGAGTCCTCTCCTGCTGATGTTCAGGTGTATATCAGTATGTAGTGTCTCTACTTTAAAGAGTCCTCTCCTGCTGATGTTCAGGTGTATATCAGTATGTAGTGTCTCTACTTTAAAGAGTCCTCTCCTGGTGATGTTCAGGTGTATATCAGTATGTAGTGTCTCTACTTTAAAGAGTCCTCTCCTGCTGATGTTCAGGTGTATATCAGTATGTAGTGTCTCTACTTTAAAGAGTCCTCTCCTGCTGATGTTCAGGTGTATATCAGTATGTAGTGTCTCTACTTTAAAGAGTCCTCTCCTGCTGATGTTCAGGTGTATATCAGTATGTAGTGTCTCTACTTTAAAGAGTCCTCTCCTGCTGATGTTCAGGTGTATATCAGTATGTAGTGTCTCTACTTTAAAGAGTCCTCTCCTGCTGATGTTCAGGTGTATATCAGTATGTAGTGTCTCTACTTTAAAGAGTCCTCTCCTGCTGATGTTCAGGTGTATATCAGTATGTAGTGTCTCTACTTTAAAGAGTCCTCTCCTGCTGATGTTCAGGTGTATATCAGTATGTAGTGTCTCTACTTTAAAGAGTCATCTCCTGCTGATGTTCAGGTGTATATCAGTATGTAGTGTCTCTACTTTAAAGAGTCCTCTCCTGCTGATGTTCAGGTGTATATCAGTATGTAGTGTCTCTACTTTAAAGAGTCCTCTCCTGCTGATGTTCAGGTGTATATCAGTATGTAGTGTCTCTACTTTAAAGAGTCCTCTCCTGCTGATGTTCAGGTGTATATCAGTATGTAGTGTCTCTACTTTAAAGAGTCCTCTCCTGCTGATGTTCAGGTGTATATCAGTATGTAGTGTCTCTACTTTAAAGAGTCCTCTCCTGCTGATGTTCAGGTGTATATCAGTATGTAGTGTCTCTACTTTAAAGAGTCCTCTTCTGCTGATGTTCAGGTGTATATCAGTATGTAGTGTCTCTACTTTAAAGAGTTCCTCTCCAGATGTCCTGCTGCTGCTTCTTCTAATCTCACAAGATGAAAGTGGAATCTTCCATCAATTATTTTCCAAACATACTGAATTATATCCCCCATAAATCCCTCAAATTATCCCCTAATAATCCCACTGATCACATGACCCAGATACACGGGTCACATGACCTCAGCTCAGCCTCCTGCCCTCACACACTTCATCAGATGATTCCCTTTATATAGAGGCGCTGCTTCCTGAAACTCTGCTCAGCCATTAGGGATCAATTCATGAATCACCTTTGAGAAACTTTTGGAAAAATATTTTTCATGTTTGTTTTTGTGCATTTTTCACAATTGTTAGTCTTTCATATTTTGTGGTCATTTCTACAAATGTTTCAGATATTTAGCAGATCTCTTTCAGACATGTTTGGTATATGTTTTCCACTAGTGTGTGTGTGTGTGTGTGTGTGTGTGTGTGTGTGTGTGTGTGTGTGTGTGTGTGTGTGTGTGTGTGTGTGTGTGTGTGTGTTAGCTTCCCTAGAGATATAGAGATAGAAAAGTACAGTCCATTGTTATTTATTGTATCACTCTTATTGTTATTGTTTGTCCTCCTCGGGTTCTTTGGATTAGAGTCAGAAGCGTAATTGTCTCTAAATCATTTGTATGTCAATCTGACGATTAGGATCCACTCTGCAAAGATTACAGAGACATTAACCTCCATTAAAACTCATAAACAGATTACTGTATAAATGGAGCAGGGGGGGGCACAGGGGGGGGGGGGGCACAGATCAGCAAACAGCAGGAATTCAACTTCTACATTTAAGAATTTGCCAAGTTTGTGTTTTAACAAATGTCGTTTTGCAGATTTCAGAATTTCAGCTTCAGGAATTTTTATGTAATTTTAAACCTGAACACATTTCGTGTTTGACATTTTTTGCTAATTTATACTCCTGCTACACACGCACGCACACACGCACGCACGCACACACACGTCTGATTGGCTGCTACAGGTGAATGACAGAGACATCATTATTCCCTGTATGAATGAGCAGACGGCGAGCAGCGCCCCCTTCAGGCTGCAGGCTGAACACCACAGGGTTCTTCCTCTGGAGAGCAGGACGCACAGGGTTATGGCTAACCCATCAAATCAAGCCCCCAGTGTTCATGTATCATTTCAATCTAAATTCTCCACTTTCTTCTTACATTTCAGCATAGCAATTCAGCGGCAGCTTTTCAGCATGAAGCATTCCCACGAGCAATTTCTTCAGGAATTGCATTCTCTAGTTAATATTATTATTTATTTTATTTTACTTTATATTATTTTATTAAACTCCTGTATTTTGCTGTGGTTGATATTACTATTATTATTGTTTATTTAATTTTACTATTTTTTTTTGTATTTTATTACATTTGACATCATTGTATATGATTGTATTAGTTTGTTAGATCCTTCTCGCTCTGCAGTTTTCGGCCACGTTCCCACATCCTTTCAGAGACGCGTCATCAGAGTGCGCTGTGTTGTGTTTCTGCAGAGAGGCTGAAGAGAGTAAACTGTTCTTATTAAACAGAATCCATGGAGTAAAGGTTTGATGGAGAAGATCACAGGGATCCATCAGAGTGATCAGATGCTGACGGTACGTGACGTCACTCACCTGTTCCCGGTTTGTTCTGTAAGAGACGCTAAATCTGTTAGCATGTTGCTAAGTGCTAACAGGCTAACCTGAGACAAAATGTTCTTTAAAACACTTTTTAGAAGTTTAATGTTAGAAACAACGCGAGTCTCAGAGGACGGAAGTAACTGAGTACATGTACTCAGTTACTGTACTTAAGGAGAGTATATTTCCTTTGAGGTACTTGTACTTTACTTGAGAATTTCAATGTTTTATGCTATACTTTTTACTTCTACTCCACTACAATTCAGAGGTACATTATGTACTTTTACTTCTATTAGAGTATTTTCTACACTGAAGTACTTTTACTCAAGTACAAGATCAGAGTACTTCTACTTTCACTAAATTACCAGATCTGAGTACTTCTACTTTCACTAAAGTACAAGATCTGAGTACTTCTACTTTCACTAAAGTACCAGATCTAAGTACTTCTACTTTCACTAAAGTACCAGATCTGAGTACTTCTACTTTTACTCAAGTACAAGATCTGAGTACTTCTACTTTCACTAAAGTACAAGATCTGAGTACTTCTACTTTCACTAAAGTACCAGATCTGAGTACTTCTACTTTCACTAAAGTACAAGATCTGAGTACTTCTACTTTTTTGTGTCTCAGTGTTGTTGTTGTTTACTTTCTGCAGTGTGTGTGTGTGTCTCAGTGTTGTTGTTGTTGTTTACTCCCCAGCTGTCCACAGAATGACCCGTGATGAAGAGGGTGAGCCAGTGGGGGGTCTTCCTCTCTGTGGGGGTCCTGCTCCTCTACGTCCTGTTGGTGAAGCATCACCTGGGCTCCGGGCCTCAGAGCGTCGGCCGCCCGGCGCACCGAGCCGCCGACGCTCAGCTGTTCCAATACGGAGTCATGTTCGATGCCGGGAGCACGGGGACCAGAGTGCACGTCTTCAGGTTCACCGTGCACACCAACGGTACGCCGGGGGGGGGGGGGGGGGGGACATCTCAGAGTGTCTTTGGGGGGGGGGGGGACATCTCTTTGGGGGGGGACGGACATCTCAGAGTCTCTTTGGGGGGGGGACATCTCAGAGTCTCTTTGGGGGGGGGACATCTCAGAGTCTCTTTGGGGGGGGGACATCTCAGAGTCTCTTTGGGGGGGGGGACATCTCAGAGTCTCTTTGGGGGGGGGGGGGGGGGGGGGGCATCTCAGAGTCTTTGGGGGGGGGGGGGGGCATATCGAGTCTTTGGGGGGGGGACGACATCTCAGAGTCTTTTGGGGGGGGACGACATCTCAGAGTCTCTTTGGGGGGGGGGACATCTCAGAGTCTTTTTTTTGGGGGGGGACATCAGAGTCTCTTTGGGGGGGGGGGGGGACATCTCAGAGTCTCTTTGGGGGGTATCAAGCATCATGTTCCTACACTGGAGCAGGACACTTCAGAGACATGTCCTTAGTAACAGCTGGAGCGGTACGCCGGGGGGGGGGGGGGGGGGGACATCTCAGGGTGTTTGGGGGGGGGGGGACATCTCTTGGGGGGGACGACATCTCAGAGTCTCTTTGGGGGGGGGACATCTCAGAGTCTCTTTGGGGGGGGGACATCTCAGAGTCCTTTGGGGGGGGGACATCTCAGAGTCTTTGGGGGGGGGGACATCTCAGAGTCTCTTTGGGGGGGGGGGGGGGGGCATCTCAGAGTCTCTTTGGGGGGGGGGGGGGGGGCATCTCAGAGTCTCTTTGGGGGGGGACGACATCTCAGAGTCTCTTTGGGGGGGGACGACATCTCAGAGTCTCTTTGGGGGGGGGGGGACATCTCAGAGTCTTTTTGGGGGGGGGGACATCTCAGAGTCTCTTTGGGGGGGGGGGGACATCTCAGAGTCTCTTTGGGGGGTATCAAGCATCATGTTCCTACACTGGAGCAGGACACTTCAGAGACATGTCCTTAGTAACAGCTGGAAGAGAGGGGGGGGGGCTACAAGGATCTGTTTGGGGTCTGGAGCAGGACCCTTCAGAGACATGTCCTTAGTAACAGCTGGAAGAGAGGGGGGGGGGCTACAAGGATCTGTTTGGGGTCTGGAGCAGGACCCTTCAGAGACATGGACCTCTCAGTCCCTCAGCCGCTCTCAGATAGCTGATGATGTATAAATGAAATACAACACGTGTAACTGTAACACTTGTTCTGATGAACAGGCCTGAGGATATATTTCATATTGAGTGTATTCAGAGGGTACCGGCCCCCCCCCCCTCTCTGGATGCTAAATGGACTCTGGCTCACTCCGACTGCTCTTAGTGTTTAAAGCCAGCATTAATTACCAGCTGACCCCAGAGGAAGCACAGACTCATTAGAGCCTCAGAGGGTTTTGGGCTTAGAGCAAATGCCTTCGTTATCGCATTTACGGCTAAGCTAACGCAGCGGCTGAGTGCTGTTTTGGCTCCTTTGTTAGCATGGAGCTAACCTGTTAGTTATTCAGACGGGTCATTAAGAGGCACAGGTCCAGGGTCAGTCTGCTTTATTATCTAAATCATATTATCATCTTAAACCCCCCGCTGCAGAGCCCGCAGATCACCACGATTATTTAAGGATTTAAGACTAAATGTTCTCATTATTCACATTTAATATTTATCCACTGTGAGCTGCCGTCCTGCTGTTCGCCTGCACATTTCACATTTCATGAACACTAAGAGTTTCTCTCATGTTTTATATTAAAGTGAATACCTGTTCTTGTTTCCTCAGCCGCTCCGTCTCTGTCTCAGGAAACGTTCAGAGCCATCGAACCGGGCCTCTCTGCGTACGCCGACGACCCCGACCAGGTTCAGAACATCACTGCTCTATATCTCTACATCACTGCTCTATAGCACTGCTCTATATCTATAGCACAGCTCTATATCTATATCACTGCTCTATAGCACTGCTCTATATCTATATCACTGCTCTATATCACTGCTCTATATCTATATCACTGCTCTATATCTATATCACTGCTCTATATCTATAGCACTGCTCTATATCTATATCACTGCTCTATATCTATATCACTGCTCTATATCTATAGCACTGCTCTATATCTATATCACTGCTCTATAGCACTGCTCTATATCTATATCACTGCTCTATATCTATATCACTGCTCTATATCTATATCACTGCTCTATATCTATAGCACTGCTCTATATCTATATCACTGCTCTATATCTATAGCACTGCTCTATATCTATATCACTACTCTATATCACTGCTCTATATCTCTATATCACTGCTCTACATCACTGCTCTATATCTATATCACTGCTCTATATCTATATCACTGCTCTATATCTATATCACTGCTCTATATCTATAGCACTGCTCTATATCACTGCTCTATATCACTGCTCTATATCTATATCACTGCTCTATATCTATAGCACTGCTCTATATCTATAGCACTGCTCTATATCACTGCTCTATATCTATATCACTGCTCTATATCTATATCACTGCTCTATATCTATATCACTGCTCTATATCACTACTCTATATCACTACTCTATATCACTGCTCTATATCTATATCACTGCTCTATATCTATATCACTGCTCTATATCACTGCTCTATATCTATATCACTGCTCTATATCTATATCACTGCTCTATATCACTGCTCTATATCTATATCACTGCTCTATATCTATATCACTGCTCTATATCACTGCTCTATATCACTGCTCTATATCACTGCTCTATATCTATATCACTGCTCTATATCTATATCACTGCTCTATATCTATATCACTGCTCTATAGCACTGCTCTATATCTATATCACCGCTCTATATCTATATCACTGCTCTATATCTATATCACTGCTCTATAGCACTGCTCTATATCTATATCACTGCTCTATATCTATAGCAGTGCTCTATATCTATAGCACTGCTCTATCTATATCACTGCTCTATATCACTGCTCTATATCTATATCACTGCTCTATATCTATATCACTGCTCTATATCTATATCACTGCTCTATATCTATATCACTGCTCTATAGCACTGCTCTATATCTATATTACTGCTCTATATCTATAGCAGTGCTCTATATCTATAGCAGTGCTCTATATCTATAGCACTGCTCTATATCACTGCTCTATATCTATATCACTGCTCTATATCTATATCACTGCTCTATATCTATAGCACTGCTCTATATCTATATCACTGCTCTATAGCACTGCTCTATATCTATATCACTGCTCTATATCACTGCTCTATATCTATATCACTGCTCTATATCTATATCACTACTCTATATCACTGCTCTATATCTATATCACTGCTCTATATCTATAGCACTGCTCTATATCTATATCACTGCTATATATCTATATCACTGCTCTATATCACTGCTCTATATCTATATCACTGCTCTATATCTATATCACTGCTCTATATCTATATCACTGCTCTATAGCACTGCTCTATATCTATATCACTGCTCTATATCACTGCTCTATATCTATATCACTGCTCTATATCTATATCACTGCTCTATATCTATATCACTGCTCTATATCACTGCTCTATATCTATATCACTGCTCTATATCTATAGCACTGCTCTATATCTATAGCACTGCTCTATATCTATATCACTGCTCTATCTCTATATCACTGCTCTATATCTATATCACTGCTCTATATCTATAGCACTGCTCTATATCTATATCACTGCTCTATATCTATATCACTGCTCTATATCACTGCTCTATATCTATATCACTGCTCTATATCTATAGCACTGCTCTATATCTATAGCACTGCTCTATATCTATATCACTGCTCTATCTCTATATCACTGCTCTATATCTATAGCACTGCTCTATATCTCTATATCACTGCTCTATATCACTGCTCTATATCACTGCTCTATATCTATATCACTGCTCTATATCTATATCACTGCTCTATATCTATAGCACTGCTCTATATCTATAGCACTGCTCTATATCTATATCACTGCTCTATCTCTATATCACTGCTCTATATCTATAGCACTGCTCTATATCTCTATATCACTACTCTATATCACTGCTCTATAGCACTGCTCTATATCACTGCTCTATATCACTGCTCTATAGCACTGCTCTATATCACTGCTCTATAGCACTGCTCTATAGCACTGCTCTATATCTATATCACTGCTCTATCTCTATATCACTGCTCTATATCTATAGCACTGCTCTATATCTCTATATCACTGCTCTATATCACTGCTCTATATCACTGCTCTATAGCACTGCTCTATATCACTGCTCTATAGCACTGCTCTATATCACTGCTCTATAGCACTGCTCTATAGCACTGCTCTATATCACTGCTCTATATCACTGCTCTATATCTATAGCACTGCTCTATAGCACTGCTCTACATCACTGCTCTATAGCACTGCTCTATAGCACTGCTCTATATCCAGAACATCACTTTCTATGCTCTGGATATTTTTGTAGAAAGTGTATTTTTAGCTTCTTTTAACTCTTTTTTTCTAGAATTCTTTTTGACTTTTTGATTTAAAATGTTCGGAGATTTCCTCCAAAGATATTCCACTTAGATTTTTCTTATTTTCTTAGAACTTTTCTTAATAAATGTCACATTTTTAAGGAAAAATATTCCAACTTTTCTCTGAAAAACAGACTTTTCTCTGAAAATATTCCTGAAAAACAGACTTTTCTCTGAAAAACAGACTTTTCTCTAAACTTTTAAACTTTTTCCAAAACATTCCAAATGATTTCTAAATAAATAGTTATTATTATAAATAGTTAACAAATGATTTTGTGATCATCTCTGCCTTTGACATATATTTATCTTTCCTTAAACTTTTTTATCATATTATTATTTTTCAATTTGTTACGTCAAATCTTTCCCAAAATATTCAGACTTTTTCCTAAAAACAATCTGATGTTTCCTGATTCAGGACTTTGTGCTGATTCAGGACTTTGTGCTGATTCAGGACTTTGTGCTGATTCAGGACTTTGTGCTGATTCAGGACTTCGTGCTGATTCAGGACTTTGTGCTGATTCAGGACTTTGTGCTGATTTAGGACTTCGTGCTGATTTAGGACTTTGTGCTGATTTAGGACTTCGTGCTGATTCAGGACTTTGTGCTGATTCAGGACTTTGTGCTGATTTAGGACTTTGTGCTGATTTAGGACTTCGTGCTGATTTAGGACTTCGTGCCGATTCAGGACTTTGTGCCGATTTAGGACTTTGTGCCGATTTAGGACTTTGTGCCGATTCAGGACTTTGTGCCGATTTAGGACTTTGTGCCGATTAGGACTTTGTGCCGATTTAGGACTTTGTGCCGATTTAGGACTTCGTGCCGATTCAGGACTTTGTGCCGATTCAGGACTTTGTGCTGATTTAGGACTTTGTGCTGATTCAGGACTTTGTGCTGATTTAGGACTTCGTGCTGATTCAGGACTTCGTGCCGATTTAGGACTTTGTGCCGATTTAGGACTTTGTGCCGATTTAGGACTTCGTGCCGATTCAGGACTTGGTGCCGATTTAGGACTTTGTGCCGATTCAGGACTTTGTGCCGATTTAGGACTTCGTGCCGATTTAGGACTTCGTGCCGATTTAGGACTTTGTGCCGATTCAGGACTTTGTGCCGATTCAGGACTTTGTGCCGATTTAGGACTTTGTGCCGATTTAGGACTTTGTGCTGATTCAGGACTTTGTGCTGATTTAGGACTTCGTGCTGATTCAGGACTTTGTGCTGATTCAGGACTTTGTGCTGATTTAGGACTTCGTGCTGATTTAGGACTTCGTGCTGATTCAGGACTTCGTGCTGATTTAGGACTTCGTGCTGATTTAGGACTTCGTGCTGATTTAGGACTTTGTGCTGATTCAGGACTTTGTGCTGATTTAGGACTTCGTGCTGATTTAGGACTTCGTGCTGATTCAGGACTTTGTGCTGATTTAGGTTTTTTTTCTCTAACTCTTTATTTCCCCCTGGACTCTTTACTATTGAATGATTCCTCCTTTCTCCTCTAAACGGTCTGCTTGTCTCCCCCGGGTGGTGTCAGTGTGCTGCCGGGATCCTTCAGCTGCTGGAGGTGGCTAAATCCAGCGTCCCCCCCCCCGCCTGGAGCCGGACCCCCGCGGTGCTGAGAGCCACCGCGGGACTGAGACTGCTGGAAGGGGGGCGAGCGAGAGAGCTGCTGACGAGGGTACACACACACACACACACACACAGAGTGATGAAACAACATTTTGTTGTATGCTATTTTAGTTTTATTAATAATAATGTATTATTGTGTGTGTGTGTGTGTGTGTGTGTGGTGTGTGTGTGTGTGTGTGTGTGTGTGTGTGTGTGGTGTGTGTGTGTGTGGTGTGTGTGTGTGTGGTGTGTGTGTGTGTGTGTGTGTGTGTGTGTGTGTGTGTGTGTGTGTGTGTGTGGTGTGTGGGTGTGTGTAGGTGATGGCTCTGTTCGTGGATTCTCCCTTCCTCTCTCGAGACGACAGCGTGTCCATCATGGATGGCACAGACGAAGGTACCCTCACATTAACATATATATATATTATATATATATTTATTAGCAGGTGCATGTGATCACCTGACCGCCCCCCCCCATCTCTCTCCTCTCCATGACTTTATTAGATTACACCACTTTATCTTTCATTCCTTTAATCCCGACTCTGATTTCCCCGACGAACTCGCCAATAACACGCAGATTAGAGGCAGGATTAAAACCAAAGAAGGAGAGAGCAGGAGAGCTGCTGCAGAGGAGCAGTGACTCCTCCCAGTGACTCCTCCCAGTGACTCCTCCCAGTGACTCCTCCCAGTGACTCCTCCCAGTGATTTAGAGATGGCAAATCCGGATCCATTTACGGACTCAGGGTCTTCTGAGTCAGTCATTGAAGTGATCCGGATCATACGAGTCCTTTGAGTCATATGAGTCAGCATCACCAAGAGCGTAGAAATCCTACCGGTGAAACCGAAAAGTTGTTGCATTTCACGAGCATATTAAACTAACATTACATTAACCTCCGCTACACAGTGTCTTTTGCTTTAATAAAAAATGTTGATCACAAAAAAAAAGGGTTATTTTGCGATTTGGAGAATCTGAGTCTGCTGTTGACTCGTGCATGAGGACGAGTCTGCTGGATCTCTGGATCTGCTGCTATATGGTTACGGCGAATGGTGTACATTTGAAAAACTTCATGTTACTGTTGTTGAAATCTCTCCCCACTTTTGTCCGCACCCCCTAAGTAAAATGACTTCCCAGTTCCCGCGGCTATGCTCGTGCATGACGAGTCTGGATCTCTGGATCTGCTATACGGTTACGGCTCTGAGTCCCCACGAGTCTGCAGGAAGTGTCACTGATCCGCGTCCCCTGAGCCAAACGATCACTTCTGGCAGCTATCCTACTTGCTAAAGGCTAGGCAGATGGACTGGGGTACGTTGTAATGTGATTTTACAGCGAGTGACGCAATTTATAGTTTTCATTTGTACGTCACCAGGCAGGGGCGCCGCCCTATGAAAAGATATCACATTGTTAAGAGTTACTTATTACTTACATTTTTTTCTTAATGTTCTAAAATAGTTTGGGCCCCTGTCAGTCACGGGCCCTTAGAATCGTCCTAACTTTTCACCCCCTTACGGCGCCCCTGTCACCAGGTGTAGGACTCAAAGGACTCGGGTTAATCGAGAGGGGAGACTCGTCACGACCTGCTCATTACTAGGATCCGGGTTAATGATCCGGATGAATCAGGACTCGCCCATCGCTACAGTGACTCCCAGTTACTTCCATCATAACTGTTATAAACATCTTTAGTTACAATTTAAACAATAACTTAAAGGACACCTATCATGCTATATTTAAATGATATATTGTAGGGCCATACCTATATAAGGTATATTTATACGTTCTGTTTTCAAAATACCAAACAGATCATGCATTTTAGCCATGCCTCATTTCGCTCTATGTGCTGTTTGCTGTCTACGGGTCTGATTCTGCTGACCACGCCCCCCTGCAGGAGAGGGGAGACGTGCTCTGATCAGCTGCTGGGCTGTCAGAAGAGGGGGAGAAAAAGAGATCTCCGTCCTCCGTGTTTTATTATATAGAGTCGTTATTCATTTGTTTTAAAGCTCAATAAATAACAAAGAAGACCTTTGACCGGCACTTTTCTCATTTTGTCCGGAAGATTGAAACTTTAACGGACATCTTGACCGACGAAAGAAACTGAAACTCTGCCGCACGGTCCCCTCGTTCCTTGGAAGAGGCGGAGAGGTGGGTGTTTGTCATCTGCTGGTGGACTAACCGGAGAGAGTTACAGTGCTTGCCTCGACGGGGAGGGATTGCATTGAATTAAAGCAGCGGGAGCAAACGCTTGCCTCGGGGAGGGAGAAAGAAAGCCACAGCGGAGAATAAACAGAAGGGTAACCATGGTAACTATGGGCGGGAAGTCTTCTTCGCTGCTTTTGTGGCAGACTACAGCGCCACTTACAGGCCTGGCATATGTACTACAGCGTCTCCAGCGCTTTCGAGCGGCAATGGCCGTGGCTGTCTCCTCCTGATTGGTGGAGTTGGCCCAATAGCCGTAGCGCCACCGTCCTGACGTCAGGACAGTGTTCAAATCTGGATCAGTTTTTATCCGTTGCAGCCCCTTTTTTAGAGATTTGGGTATGGAGGAAAATAGAGAGGGTTGTGTTTTCTGACACTTGGTGAGTTCCCTGGAACACCGGGGACACATTCATGTAGAAAAGACGTACTAAAGTGCATTTTGCATGATAGGTCCCCTTTAAGCATATTTCATTTATAATGAAATTATTTACTTTCATCACCAGTGTATTTTAACTACTGATAAATAACTTATCTTTTTAAACAACACATCTTACATTCAAGTAGAAATAAACAAATTATGCACTGTATTTTTTTAACTACCATTTTAACAGTTTTTAATCACTTTTTAACAGTTATTCTTAACATGAACAGAGCTGCGGCTAATGAAATTAATTAACTAACTAAAGAGAGTGGCTTTAAGTAAACCAAGAGCAATGCTCCCTTAATATTTAGCTATGCTATCAGCTTCTGTTCTATAGAACTAACAAGTGGTGTTAGCCTTTAGCTTCTGCTAGCGATTAGCATCAGCTCACAGTTAGCGCTAGCTAACATCGCTAGCTTGTGATTAGCATAAGCTAACGATCTTATTCCAATATTTTTACAATGATACAATGTGCGCCAAAGTACATGCATCAAAAACACAAGACATCACTTTCATAACCCCGATTGGTTTTTATATGAAATGTATCTTGACAATAAAATCAAAAACGAACTGTCATTGTCATATTAGCAGGCTAGCCCTTCAAAGTGCTAACCAGTGTTGCCAACTCCATAGTAAGGAAAGTAGCTATTGGCTGTCCTAAAAGTAGCTAGAAGTCGCTAAATGACGTCATCGCCTAATTTGCATATTTTATATACAAAAAGTGAAGAAAAAAACACCCTTAATGTGTTTAGACTACAAATGAACTTCCTTCTGTTGATTCTTTTTTTTTTTTTTTATTATGTTTGTCCATCACTTGATGACTTTAATGCTTTGTCTAGACCAACATTACATACATACATTTAGTCCAGTATTGTTAAAGAATTAGTCACATTTAATCAAAGAAATGGTTATGTGGGATGGAATTGCTACCTTCCTTCTCTATCTAGGCTTGGGACTAAGTGACCCAAAAGAGACACTCTGCCAGCCAGGGCGGGATCAGCAATGGCTTTGCACGATTAATATTCAGTCTGGACCATGGTCTGGACGCGTAGTGTGTCTCTTTTGGGTCACTTTGCCACCTCTCTGCTCGAGTGCAGCTGCCGCGCGAGGCTGCCTGTGAGTGCTTTGAGACGGCGGAGGGGCTCAGCACCCGCTGCTCGTTGAGGAAAGTAACTGCGTAACAATTACGTGCTATCACGTCAGATTCTCCAAACACCAGAAAAAGTAGCTGAATTTGTCGCTAGTCGCTTTTGACAAAAAAAAGTAGCCGGAGGGTTTGGAAAGTCGCCCGATTTAGCGAGAAAGTCCCCAAGTTGGCAACACTGGTGCTAACAAAGAGTAAAGCCTCAACTCACTGGAGTTTCCACACTTATAAATCGACACTGGTTTGGATTCACACAGGGGTTCTGGTCAAATAATACTCTGTTAACTATCATAGTTTGAGTACAAATAACCACTTTTTTAATGCTATTATGTCCAACTATACTAAGAGCTGCTCAACTGCTGTCTCTGCGTCTTCAGGTATAAAGGGGGTAAAGTAAGAGGTACAGAGGACTGAGGTTGTGGATAGCTTAAAGGTGAGGAGCAGAATCTTATAAGAAGGAAAAGGGTCTCACTGACGGGTAGAAGGCTTGGATTTCAGTATCAGGTCCGATATTACAACAACAGAGGGAAGTTATGGAGGTTACTGTGTTGATCTTATGGACGTTACCGTGTTGATCTTATAGACGTTACTGTGTGGATCTTATGGAGGTTACTGTGTTTCTCTTATGGACGTTACTGCGTTGATCTTATGGACGTTACTGTGTTTCTCTTATGGACGTTACCGTGTTTCTCTTATGGACGTTACTGTGTTGATCTTATGGACGTTACTGTGTTGATCTTATGGACGTTACCGTGTTTCTCTTATAGACGTTACTGTGTTGATCTTATGGACGTTACCGTGTTGATCTTATAGACGTTACCGTGTTGATCTTATGGACGTTACTGTGTTTCTCTTATGGAGGTTACTGTGTTTCTCTTATAGACGTTACTGTGTTGATCTTATAGACGTTACTGTGTTGATCTTATGGACGTTACCGTGTTGATCTTATGGACGTTACCGTATTGATCTTATGGACGTTACCGTGTTGATCTTATGGAGGTTACTGTGTTGATCTTATAGACGTTACCGTGTTGATCTTATGGACGTTACCGTGTTGATCTTATGGAGGTTACTGTGTTGATCTTATAGACGTTACCGTGTTGATCTTATGGAGGTTACTGTGTTGATCTCATGGACGTTACCGTATTGATCTTATGGACGTTACCGTGTTGATCTTATGGAGGTTACTGTGTTTCTCTTATAGACGTTACTGTGTTTCTCTTATAGACGTTACCGTGTTGATCTTATGGACGTTACCGTGTTGATCTTATGGACGTTACCGTATTGATCTTATGGACGTTACCGTGTTGATCTTATGGACGTTACCGTATTGATCTTATGGACGTTACCGTGTTGATCTTATAGACGTTACCGTGTTGATCTTATGGACGTTACCGTGTTGATCTTATGGACGTTACCGTGTTGATCTTATGGACGTTACCGTGTTGATCTTATGGAGGTTACTGTGTTTCTCTTATAGACGTTACTGTGTTTCTCTTATAGACGTTACCGTGTTGATCTTATGGACGTTACCGTGTTTCTCTTATAGACGTTACCGTGTTGATCTTATGGATGTTACTGTGTTTCTCTTATAGACGTTACCGTGTTGATCTTATGGAGGTTACTGTGTTTCTCTTATAGACGTTACTGTGTTTCTCTTATAGACGTTACCGTGTTTCTCTTATAGACGTTACTGTGTTTCTCTTATAGACGTTACCGTGTTGATCTTATGGACGTTACCGTGTTTCTCTTATAGACGTTACCGTGTTGATCTTATGGATGTTACCGTGTTTCTCTTATAGACGTTACCGTGTTGATCTTATGGACGTTACCGTGTTTCTCTTATAGACGTTACCGTGTTGATCTTATGGACGTTACCGTGTTGATCTTATGGACGTTACCGTGTTGATCTTATGGACGTTACCGTGTTGATCTTATGGACGTTACCGTGTTGATCTTATGGACGTTACCGTGTTTCTCTTATAGACGTTACCGTGTTGATTTTATAGACGTTACCGTGTTGATCTTATGGACGTTACCGTGTTTCTCTTATGGAGGTTACTGTGTTTCTCTTATGTGTTGATCTTATGGACGTTACCGTGTTGATCTTATGGACGTTACCGTGTTGATCTTATGGAGGTTACCGTGTTGATCTTATGGACGTTACCGTGTTGATCTTATGTACGTTACCGTGTTGATTTTATGGACGTTACCGTGTTGATCTTATGGAGGTTACCGTGTTGATCTTATGGACGTTACCGTGTTGATCTTATGGACGTTACCGTGTTGATCTTATGGACGTTACCGTGTTGATCTTATGGACGTTACCGTGTTGATCTTATGGACGTTACCGTGTTGATCTTATGGATGTTTCGGTCAGATATCTGCCAGATGTTGGCTGCTGTTTGACCCTCCTCTCCTCTCCCATCACAATGCCCACTAAAGCCTCTGTAATGTATAATGTATAATACATTAATGATAATGCATGCTGTAGCTGCACACATCACATGTGTAGCACCCCCACTATAATCCAATCCTTCAGAAAGTAGTTCATAGAAGCAATTATTGGGCGGGATAATGTCCCGGTAATCTTGGAGGATTATTATCCCGGTTCCTCCGACCTGGTTCTGCTCCTGCGAGGATCAGCTCGTTACTAAAAGTCTTTAAATGATTACTGAATTATCTGCGGGCCTCTAATGGACGCCCTCCTCGGTCTTGGAGTTATCCGGCGCGCAGATTAGCGTTAGCATGCAGCGACTTATTGTTAATGCAGCGGGCGAGCGAGGGCTAAGTGCCGTTTTTAGCTCAGTTTTTTTGCTCCGTGTTTAGCTCCGTGTTTTAGCTCACGGTGAACGCTGATGTTTGTTTTGTTTGGAAAATGGCTTCTTCGAGTTAAAGCCTCATGATACCGTCTCTGAGAGAGAGAGGTCAGATGGCGCGAGGAAAAAAGCTCTAATGCTAAAGCCACTACTGTCGCCTGCAGTGACCTCAATCACAGCTGTACACTTCAGACCTTCATCTACAGCACGCTGTCTTCATCAAATCACATCTACAGCACGCTGTCTTCATCAAATCACATCTACAGCACGCTGTCTCCATCAAATCACATCTACAGCACGCTGTCTTCATCAAATCACATCTACAGCACGCTGTCTTCATCAAATCACATCTAAAGCACGCTGTCTTCATCAAATCACATCTACAGCACGCTGTCTTCATCAAATCACATCTAAAGCACGCTGTCTTCATCAAATCACATCTACAGCACGCTGTCTTCATCAAATCACATCTACAGCACGCTGTCTCCATCAAATCACATCTAAAGCACGCTGTCTTCATCAAATCACATCTACAGCACGCTGTCTTCATCAAATCACATCTACAGCACGCTGTCTTCATCAAATCACATCTACAGCACGCTGTCTTCATCAAATCACATCTACAGCACGCTGTCTCCATCAAATCACATCTAAAGCACGCTGTCTTCATCAAATCACATCTACAGCACGCTGTCTTCATCAAATCACATCTAAAGCACGCTGTCTTCATCAAATCACATCTACAGCACGCTGTCTTCATCAAATCACATCTAAAGCACGCTGTCTTCATCAAATCACATCTAAAGCACGCTGTCTCCATCAAATCACATCTAAAGCACGCTGTCTTCATCAAATCACATCTAAAGCACGCTGTCTTCATCAAATCACATCTAAAGCACGCTGTCTCCATCAAATCACATCTAAAGCACGCTGTCTCCATCAAATCACATCTAAAGCACGCTGTCTCCATCAAATCACATCCATAGCACTTTTTGTTTCTATAAAATACAATTTTTTTACTTTATATCTTAATTTATAATTAATGATCACGTTATATCTTCATAAAACAACAGATATATTTATTTATATAACTATCTTCATAGAAAAACATTTAAATCCATTTATGTCTTTCTTCATAACACTTTATCTTAATAAAAGAAGATTTATATTAACTTAAATCTTATTCAATTAGTCATTTGTATGCAGTGGACGTGATTTTATTTTAAAATTAAAGCAGGAACTGTAATATGTTTCTTATGTTTGATATTTTTTATTCAGGGATTTCTGCCTGGATCACCGTCAACTTCCTCACTGGTGAGCACACACACACACACACACACACACACACACACACACACACTCTGACATGTCATAAATGCTGGTATAAAGATGTCGGATTAATGTGGACAGGAAACACTGATTGCCTGTTATTGGATTATTATTATTCCCCCAGGTGACCTCCACAGAGCCGATTCCTCCACTGCTGGGATGTTAGATCTGGGAGGAGGATCGACTCAGATCACCTTCAAGCCTCAGGACGAGGTGAGGCTGCTTTAAAGAGTCCTCTCCTGCTGATGTTCAGGTGTATATCAGTATGTAGTGTCTCTACTTTAAAGAGTCCTCTCCTGCTGATGTTCAGGTGTATATCAGTATGTAGTGTCTCTACTTTAAAGAGTCCTCTCCTGCTGATGATCAGGTGTATATCAGTATGTAGTGTCTCTACTTTAAAGAGTCCTCTCCTGCTGATGTTCAGGTGTATATCAGTATGTAGTGTCTCTACTTTAAGAGTCCTCCTCCTGCTGATGTTCAGGTGTATATCAGTATGTAGTGTCTCTACTTTAAAGAGTCCTCTCCTGCTGATGTTCAGGTGTATATCAGTATGAGTGTCTCTACTTTAAAGAGTCCTCTCCTGCTGATGTTCAGGTGTATATCAGTATGTAGTGTCTCTACTTTAAAGAGTCCTCTCCTGGCTGATGTTCAGGTGTATATTTCAGTATGTAGTGTCTCTACTTTAAAGAGTCCTCTCCTGCTGATGTTCAGGTGTATATTCAGTATGTAGTGTCTCTTACTTTAAAGAGTCCTCTCTGCTGATGTTCAGGTGTATATCAGTATGTAGTGTCTCTACTTAAAAGAGTTCCTCTCCTGCTGATGTTCAGGTGTATATCAGTATGTAGTGTCTCTACTTTAAAGAGTCCTCCCTGCTGAGTTCAGGTGTTATTCAGTATGTAGTGTCTCTACCTTTTAAAGAGTACACTAGGATCAGTATGTAGTGTCTCTACTTTAAAGAGTCCTCTCCTGCTGATGTTCAGGTGTATATCAGTATGTAGTGTCTCTACTTTAAAGAGTCCTCTCCATCAGGATGCTTCTCTGTTTGAGGCTTTAATCTCTAAATGCCACAATAATCCCAAATGAACGCCCTCATCAGGAGAGAGAGAGAGAGAGAGAGAGAGGGTCTTATTTGTTATGTAGGTCATGCTGCTTTAAAAAGTGACTCTGTGTCTCCGAGCAGAAAACCATCCAGACGTCTCCCATCGACTACATCAGGTCCTTCCAGATGTTCAACAACACACACACTGTGTACACGCACAGGTACACACACACACACACACACACACACACACACACACACACACACACACACACACACACACACACAGAGACAGTTGCTTCCCGCGGGCAGTGAGACTGTTAAACAATTGAACTGCTGAAACAACTTCAAAACATTCATCTGCAGTAATATATATCATTCCAATAACTTGTATATAGACTCGTACTGCACTATTCCACATACTCACTTTATTTAGAACTATTTTTCTATCTGTATTATTATGTTGCGCTGTTGGAGAAGCCTGTGACCTAAGATTTTCAACGATATAATTACTCTGTAGCTATGTTAGTTTGACAATAAAGAACCTTGAACCTTGAACCCTGAACACACACACTTTCTTTTTTAATTAAAATGATTTAGTTTAGGGTTCTTTTTATTATTATTTTGTTTTTGATTTTAAGGTTCTTTACATGACTTTCTGTTGATTGGTTTTTCTTCATCAGTAAATGTTTGGAGGCGAGCAGGAGGGCGTTATTTACTTTATAAAACACATAATTTACAAACTAAAGTAGTGAATATATAAGAAAATAATAACACATTCAGAGACCGTCTGTTTGTGTCTTTCCTCCTGAACTGATGTTTTTCTGGTTCATGTCAGATTAGTGTTTTCAGATATTAAATATATAAATATATAAATATATATATGAACCCTTCACTCTCACAATATCTGGTTGTTTTCTTCAATTGATCCTCCAAGAAGAAATATATTCTGGTGGATGTACTCTCCTCCTATCAGTGAATAATCAGTGATTCTGTGCTCAGCTACCTGGGTCTGGGCCTGATGTCGGCTCGACTCGCTGTCCTGGGAGGAGCCCCCCCCCGTACGTACCTCATTATTACTCTCTTTACTCCTAATGTCTTGTTTCATCTCTGCCTTTTACACACACACACACACACACACACACACACACACACACACACACACACACACACACACACACACACACACACACACACACACACACACACACACATACACACAGATAAATAAGCCATTATCTAATCTTTTAATAACACAGCAGCAAGATTAATTCCTTGCAGGCCAGCTGTTGCTGCGACTTATTTATCTGTGTGTGTGTGTGTGTGTGTGTGTGTGTGTGTGTGTGTGTGTGTGTGTGTGTGTGTGTGTGTGTGTGTGTGTGTGTGGTGTGTGTGTGTGTGTGTGTGTGTGTGTGTGTGTGTGTGTGTGTGGTGTGTGTGTGTGTGTGTGTGTGTGTGTGTGTGTGTGTGTGTGTGTGTGTGTGTGTGTGTGTGTGTGTGTGTGTGTGTGTGTGTGTGTGTGTGTGTGTGTGTGTGTCAGTAGGGGGCAGCAGAGAGCTGGTGACCCCCTGTCTCTCTCCGGGGTCAGAGGTCAGATGGGAGCACGCTGACGTTGTTTACACTGTGAGCGGCCAGGAGTCAGGTGAGCTGCACGCTGCCCTCTGATTGGTCCGTTTATGAGGTGGACTGATGGAGAAAAAAAATGTTTTCGATTTGAGGTTTTTTTGTTTAGTTTTAGATTTTTTATTATTCTTTTTATTTGGTTTAATAAAATAATAATTTAGTTGTAGTTTTGTCTTTATTTCAATTATTTTGTTTAGTATTTTACTGATATTAGACAAAAAATAAATATATATTTTCTAATCTTATTTGGATGTTTCTGACATTTTCGAGGTATTCCTCTATTTTAATTTAATTTATTCGTAAAAACCTTGTTATGACATATTTTTGTTTTCTTTCCATCTCCTCCAGATATGTGCCCCTCCTTGCCCTTGACTTCCTCTCATATATTAACATGATTGTATATATCTGGTTATCCCCCCTCTCTCTCAGAGGGCTCCGTGCTGGAGGCGTGTCGTCTGCGTGTTCATCGCCTGTTGTCGGGTAACGTTTTGAAGGTGGAGGCGGACGACATCGACTTCTACGCTTTCTCCTTCTACTACGACCGCGCCGCAGAGCTCGGACTCATCGGTGAACACACACACACACACACACACACACACACACACACACACACACACACACACACACACACACACACACACACACACACACACACACACACACTCTTTAATGACATGTGATTATAGTACAGGTTAATACCGATAATGACATCAGATTACTATTGATCCCACAGCAGCAGGGGAACAAGGCTGTGAACATAATAGAGACGAGTACACAATCAACATCTCAACATAAACAATTCAACAGAACTAAGAAGTCAATATATCGCCCGTTAACGGTGAAAGTAACTCTGTAACCGTCTGTTACATAAACACCACGAAGGATAGATCACAGATAGCAACTCAAGTAGGATGTTATTAGTAAACTGTAGTATTTACAGTACATACGGTATCAGTACAGTAGTATTTACAGTACATACGGTATCAGTACAGTAGTATTTACAGTACATACTGTATCAGTACAGTAGTATTTACAGTATATACGGTATCAGTACAGTAGTATTTACAGTACATAAGGTATCAGTACAGTAGTATTTACAGTATATACGGTATCAGTACAGTAGTATTTACAGTACATAAGGTAGTATGTACAGTAGTATGTACAGTAGTATCTACAGTAGTATTTACAGTATGTACAGTAGTATTTACAGTATGTACAGTACATACGGTATCAGTACAGTAGTATTTACAGTACATACGGTATCAGTACAGTAGTATTTACAGTATATACGGTATCAGTACAGTAGTATTTACAGTACATAAGGTAGTATGTACAGTAGTATGTACAGTAGTATGTACAGTAGTATTTACAGTATGTACAGTAGTATTTACAGTATGTACAGTACATACGGTATCAGTACAGTAGTATTTACAGTACATACGGTATCAGTACAGTAGTATTTACAGTACATACGGTATCAGTACAGTAGTATTTACAGTACATACGGTATCAGTACAGTAGTATTTACAGTACATACGGTATCAGTACAGTAGTATTTACAGTATATACGGTATCAGTACAGTAGTATTTACAGTACATAAGGTAGTATGTACAGTAGTATGTACAGTAGTATGTACAGTAGTATTTACAGTATGTACAGTAGTATTTACAGTATGTACAGTACATATGGTATCAGTACAGTAGTATTTACAGTACATACGGTATCAGTACAGTAGTATTTACAGTACATACGGTATCAGTACAGTAGTATTTACAGTACATACGGTATCAGTACAGTAGTATTTACAGTACATAAGGTAGTATGTACAGTAGTATGTACAGTAGTATTTACAGTATGTACAGTAGTATTTACAGTATGTACAGTACATACGGTATCAGTACAGTAGTATTTACAGTACATACGGTATCAGTACAGTAGTATTTACAGTACATAAGGTAGTATGTACAGTAGTATGTACAGTAGTATTTACAGTAGTATTTACAGTAGTATGTACAGTATGTACAGTACATACTGTACATACTACTGTAACAGTAGTATTTACAGTAGTATGTACAGTAGTATTTACAGTAGTATGTACAGTACGTACTGTACATACTACTGTAACAGTAGTATGTGTAGTATGTACAGTAGTATGTACAGTAGTATGTACAGTAGTATTTACAGTAGTATGTACAGTAGTATGTACAGTAGTATTTACAGTATGTACAGTAGTATTTACAGTAGTATGTACAGTAGTATGTACAGTAGTATTTACAGTATGTACAGTAGTATTTACAGTATGTACAGTACATACGGTATCAGTACAGTAGTATTTACAGTACATACGGTATCAGTACAGTAGTATTTACAGTACATACGGTATCAGTACAGTAGTATTTACAGTACATAAGGTAGTATGTACAGTAGTATGTACAGTAGTATGTACAGTAGTATTTACAGTATGTACAGTAGTATTTACAGTATGTACAGTACATACGGTATCAGTACAGTAGTATTTACAGTACATATGGTATCAGTACAGTAGTATTTACAGTACATAAGGTAGTATGTACAGTAGTATGTACAGTAGTATTTACAGTAGTATTTACAGTAGTATGTACAGTAGTATGTACAGTATGTACAGTACATACTGTACATACTACTGTAACAGTAGTATGTGTAGTATGTACAGTAGTATGTACAGTAGTATGTACAGTAGTATGTGTAGTATGTACAGTAGTATTTACAGTAGTATGTACAGTAGTATGTACAGTAGTATTTACAGTATGTACAGTAGTATTTACAGTATGTGGATAACTCGGCACAAACATGAGTATGTGTGTTCAGGGAAAGATGTATATTTGGTCTCGTATTGAACGATGTGAGCGGACACAGATTAAAGTTCAGAGAAAATAGAAAATGTTAGAACAAATATTTTCACTTTTCATAACCTTTTTAAAAATGAATTAAAAAAGTCAAAAAATGGTTTAAAAATAGAACAATATTTAAACATGAAATAAGGATGTATATAATAAAGTATTGTGATGAATAAAGGTTCTGTGTTGTGTTTCAGAGGAGCAGACGGGAGGCAGCGTCAGAGTCTCAGATTACAGCGAGGCAGCGGAGAGAGGTGAGGGCGCCCCCTGCTGGACGCTCTGCACACGGCACTACAGCATTATATCTAATATACAGGAACAATAAATAAATAAATATTAAAATAAGAATACAACTATAAAAGTTCAGGAAAGAGATAAATACAAATAAGAACAAATAATATAGAATATGTGTATAAGAGGCTTACATTTAAAATAAAATATAAGTGGAAACTCCAGTGAGTTGAAGCTTTAGCTCTTTGTTAGCACTTTGAAGGGCTAGCCTGCTAATATTGTGGAGGAAACTTCTGTGTAGCAAAGCATGGAGTCACCGACTCAGGAAGGAGACACGGTGAGAGTTGGAGCTTTGATGTCAAACACTGATGGGTTTATTCAGAGTATCGGCCGGAGGATTCACATCACAAGTCAAAGAGTCAGAGGGTCTGACTTCACGGTAGAGTTGCCACGTCAATTCTGAAGAACCTCTCTCTATGCTAGACCTTTGAACTGGTTCACAGAGAGAAATCAACATCTCTGAAGGAGTAGACTAAACAGCTGGGAACACTGAGCCACCTGCGTCCGACACTCATGGCCTCAAAGATTTCACATCTTAGAGTCCACAAACACCGATAAAGAAGTGCCTCAGCGTTCCCACAACAAGTACCCTTCGTGCCAGACAAGTTGACCGGTCCCAAACTGGTGACAACAACACATATGGCACCAAGGCCTTTCCTTAGAGGAGATAACAGACGTCAGAGTAGATCATAAAACGTCACAGAGCAAAAGGTTAGATATCTAGAAGAATTATTCCTTAACAAAGATGACAATGACAGTTCGTTTTTGTTTTTATTGTCAAGATACATTTCATATAAAAAGCAATCGGGGTTATGAAAGTGATGTCTTATCTTTTTGGTGTACTTTGGCGCACATTGTGTCATTGTAAAAATATTGGAATAAGATCGTTAGCTTATGCTAATCGCTGACTCTGATGAGAGATGCTGTTTCTGTTTCAGTGTGCGGGGGGGTGGGGTGCGTCCTCCGGCTCGAGCCCCTTCCTCTGTCTGGACCTGCTCTACATCTCCACGCTGCTGCAGGAGCTGGGGTTCCCCCCCCACAAAACTCTCAAGGTGGGCCCCCCCACTCTTTAAAGGGTCTTCTTTACCCCCCACTCTTTAAAGGGTCTTCTTTAACACCCTAACGTCAGCAGGTTGTTCACAGGCTCCAATACTCCTTCTGGATTTATTATTATATCCTTATCATAACTTGTATTTTCCACATGGGGTGTGTATTAATGTGTGTATTGAGTGTGTGTTATTGTGTGTGTTGTGTGTATTAATGTGTGTGTTATTGTGTGTGTTGTGTGTGTTAATGTGTGTATTAATGTGTGTATTGAGTGTGTGTTATTGTGTGTGTTGTGTGTATTAATGTGTGTGTTATTGTGTGTGTTGCAGCTGGCGAGGACGATCCATCAGGTTGAGACCAGCTGGGCTCTCGGAGCGACTTTCCATTACATCGAGTCCCTGAACACACACTGAGGCTCTTATTCTGAAAATCCTCCATTACATCGAGTCCCTGAACACACACTGAGGCTCTTATTCTGAAAATCCTCCATTACATCGAGTCCCTGAACACACACTGAGGCTCTTATTCTGAAAATCCTCCATTACATCGAGTCCCTGAACACACACTGAGGCTCTTATTCTGAAAATCCTCCATTACATTGAGTCCCTGAACACACACTGAGGCTCTTATTCTGAAAATCCTCCATTACATTGAGTCCCTGAACACACACTGAGGCTCTTATTCTGAAAATCCTCCATTACATCGAGTCCCTGAACACACACTGAGGCTCTTATTCTGAAAATCCTCCATTACATCGGGTCCCTGAACACACACTGAGGCTCTTATTCTGAAAATCCTCCATTACATTGAGTCCCTGAACACACACTGAGGCTCTTATTCTGAAAATCCTCCATTACATCGGGTCCCTGAACACACACTGAGGCTCTTATTCTGAAAATCCTCCATTACATCGAGTCCCTGAACACACACTGAGGCTCTTCTGAAAATCCTCAGCTCATCCTGAATGTGCCGTAAACAAAGAATAAATCAGCAAATAAAATGTATTTATTCATAAAAAGGAATAAATAAATAAGTAAATACTTTTATTTTAATATAAAGAGAAATAATATATTTCTCTTTATATTAAAATAATGTTTTTACCTGATGCACAAACCTTGATGCATTTCTCAGGTGACGTCGTCAGAGAGTCCTGACAGCCAATCAGAAGCTGCGCTGCTACTCAGCTCCGCCCCTTTTTATTTTCAGATCTGTTCAAGTCTGAAAGGAAAACTCAGTTTCTCTGGTTAGGGTTTCTCTCAAAGGCGGCGTGGGGAAGCAACAAAATACTTTTACTCAAGTACAAGTACTGAGGTACTTTCTTAAGTTACTGAGGTACTTTTCAAAGTTACTGAGGTACTTTTTTAAGTTACTGAGGTACTTTTCAAAGTTACTGAGGTACTTTTTTAAGTTACTGAGGTACTTTTTTAAGTTACTGAGGTACTTTTTTAAGTTACTGAGGTACTTTTTTAAGTTACTGAGGTACTTTTTAAGTACACCTGGAGATGAAAATGTAGTTCTTAAAAAAAAAAGTGAAATTCTAGTTTTTGTTGTAATTAAACAAATAAACTGAAATAAAATAAAACAACTTGAAATTCCCAAAAAGTGAGATTTTGCAAAAACATGAAATTCTTTAAAAAATATGACATTTTGAAATAAGAAAAACCTTAAAATTCTGAATAAAAAGGTAAAATTCTAAGAAAAAAGTGAACATTGTCATATTTTGTCAAATAAATTCAAAATCTGAGAAAAAAAACGTATTCTTAAAAATATTGATTCTGAAATTCAGAATAAAAGGAAATTCTGAGAACAAAGGGTTATTCTGAGAACAAAGGGTTATTCTGTGAACAAAGGGTTAATCTGTGAAAAATTCCTCCTCTGAAAAAACCCAGAAAACACTTAAAATCAGCCAAAACTAAATATTCCAAAAAAAAAAATTCTAAAGACACTTTTTTTTCTTTGTGTATTTCCATTTGTTGCTTCTTCAGTTTAAATCAGTCCTTTATTCTTATACATTTCTTATACATTTCTTATACATTATTACACAACAGTTTATACAGTATGACATTAGCTCTAAATAAAACGGTGCTCTCTTAAAGCATCTGTATTTTTATATATTAAACTCTTTTACTCAATGATATGCAGATTTCCTCCAGTTCATCCGAAGCCTTTGAAGCGTTAACGAGGGTTCAAAGCGTTAACGAGGGTTCAAAGCGTTAACGAGGGTTCAAAGCGTTAACGAGGGTTCGAAGCGTTAACGAGGGCTCGAAGCGTTAACGAGGGTTCAAAGCGTGTTGTTGAGGCGATGGAGGTTCTACATGTTTGTGCCAAAAAATAACCATTTTTTAACAGGTTTTGCAAAACACGAGAAGTTTAAATGAATTCTCTGATTGTTTTTAGAAGAGTTCATATTTACTGTGATCAGACTTCTCTGAACTGTTGTTGTTGTTGTTTTCTTCAGTAAACAAAGACTCATGAAGGTATTTCCTCGACAGCGTGTCGGATGTTTGTTTCTCTGAAGGTTTCTACGTGTTTGGTGATAAATCTGCAATAAATCATGTTTTCTGAAGACTGTGTTTCATTTAGAGTGAGGATCCTCCACTAGGTGGCGCTAGGGAGGATCCTCCACTAGGTGGCTCTAGGGAGGATCCTCCACTAGGTGGCGCTAGGGAGGATCCTCCACTAGGTGGCGCTAGGGAGGATCCTCCACTAGGTGGCTCTAGGGAGGATCCTCCACTAGGTGGCGCTAGGGAGGATCCTCCACTAGGTGGCGCTAGGGAGGATCCTCCACTAGGTGGCGCTAGGGAGGATCCTCCACTAGGTGGCGCTAGGGAGGATCCTCCACTAGGTGGCGCTAGGGAGGATCCTCCACTAGGTGGCGCTAGGGAGGATCCTCCACTAGGTGGCGCTAGGGAGGATCCTCCACTAGGTGGCGCTAGGGAGGATCCTCCACTAGATGGCGCTAGGGAGGATCCTCCACTAGATGGCGCTAGGGAGGATCCTCCACTAGGTGGCGCTAGGGAGGATCCTCCACTAGATGGCGCTAGGGAGGATCCTCCACTAGATGGCGCTAGGGAGGATCCTCCACTAGATGGCGCTAGGGAGGATCCTCCACTAGATGGCGCTAGGGAGGATCCTCCACTAGGTGGCGCTAGGGAGGACCCTCCACTAGGTGGCGCTAGGGAGGACCCTCCACTAGGTGGCGCTATGGAGGACCCTCCACTAGGTGGCGCTATGGAGGATCCTCCACTAGGTGGCTCTATGGAGGATCCTCCACTAGGTGGCTCTAGGGAGGACCCTCCACTAGGTGGCGCTAGGGAGGACCCTCCACTAGGTGGCGCTATGGAGGATCCTCCACTAGGTGGCGCTATGGAGGATCCTCCACTAGGTGGCACAGGTCCCTTTCCCTTTCTACTCTAACATCTCCAACGTTAGAGAGACTCCCTCTGGAGGACCTCAGGGATTCTGTCCTCTGCAGACCGTTTACATGCACTAACTTAACACCAACCACAGGAGAGGAACAGGGACTCTTTAAAATACTTCATTACAAGATAAAGTCCCTTGTTCTAAATACTACTCTAGTAGAAGTACACAAGTATTTAGAGTTAAATGTCCTCCCCAGGGGCGTAGAGACATGAGACACTGAAACACCAATCAGATCATTGCAGCATTACCCATAATCCCCTCTGTTTCAGCCCTGTTTCCAAAGTGCTGATTCTCTGGGTGTTTCTCAATGTCGAGTAAAGCTGCTTCAGAGCCACTATTTCAAGCATGCTACGTCATCGAGTGCCTCCGAAGTACTGTTCCAATCTCCAGCATACTTGGAAATCTACCGAGCCCGGCGTACTCCGTTTGGAGAAATATCGAGTCTGCACATGAGTAGACTCCGCGGTCTTAAAATCCCCACAATGCTTTGCGCACGGACCAATTTCCCCAAATCTGTGGCGGAAGATGTAAGAGGCGGGGCCTCTCATATGACGCACACCTGCACACTTGCTAGCGTGTTCCACTCTTTGTTTTCCAAATGCCAGGAAGGATTCTTGACTCGCTTCTGAAGCAAGATGCTCGGCAGACATGTGCTACCAAGCAAGCGTACTCGACATTGAGAAACACCCTCTGTCTGTTACTTTAGATGAAAATAAGGAGCCCCTCCCCACGCCCCTACCTTGGTTGCTGATTGGCTAATGGTTACACAAGACAAAACATCGTTATGACATCAAGTGGCCAAAATGGACAGGTCTTTATATAAATGGATCAAAAAGAGAGAGAATCTTTGTTCCTGAAACTTTCAGAGTCTCTTTCCACAGAGGGGACACATGGTGATGAAGAAGAGACATGAAGAAGAGGGGACACATGGTGATGAAGAAGAGACATGAAGAAGAGGGGACACATGGTGATGAAGAAGAGACATGAAGAAGAGGGGACACATGGTGATGAAGAAGAGATATGAAGAAGAGGGGACACATGGTGATGAAGAAGAGACATGAAGAAGAGGGGACACATGTTGATGAAGAAGAGACATGAAGAAGAGGGGACACATGTTGATGAAGAAGAGACATGAAGAAGAGGGGACACATGTTGATGAAGAAGAGACATGGAGAAGAGGGGACACATGTTGATGAAGAAGAGACATGAAGAAGAGGGGACACATGTTGATGAAGAAGAGACATGAAGAAGAGGGGACACATGTTGATGTAGGAGAGACATGAAGAAGAGGGACACATGTTGATGAAGAAGAGACATGAAGAAGAGGGGACACATGTTGATGAAGAAGAGACATGAAGAAGAGGGGACACATGTTGATGAAGAAGAGACATGGAGAAGAGGGGACACATGTTGATGAAGAAGAGACATGAAGAAGAGGGGACACATGTTGATGTAGGAGAGACATGAAGAAGAGGGGACACATGTTGATGAAGAAGAGACATGAAGAAGAGGGGACACATGTTGATGTAGAAGAGACATGAAGAAGAGGGGACACATGTTGATGAAGAAGAGACATGAAGAGGGGACACATGTTGATGAAGAAGAGACATGAAGAAGAGGGGACACATGTTGATGTAGAAGAGACATGAAGAAGAGGGGACACATGTTGATGAAGAAGAGACATGAAGAAGAGGGGACACATGTTGATGAAGAAGAGACATGAAGAAGAGGGGACACATGTTGATGTAGAAGAGACATGAAGAAGAGGGGACACATGGTGATGTAGAAGAGATATGAAGAAGAGGGGACACATGTTGATGTAGAAGAGATATGAAGAAGAGGGGACACATGTTGATGAAGAAGAGGGGACACATGTTGATGAAGAAGAGACATGAAGAAGAGGGGACACATGTTGATGTAGAAGAGACATGAAGAAGAGGGGACACATATTGATGTAGAAGAGACATGAAGAAGAGGGGACACATGTTGATGTAGAAGAGATATGAAGAAGAGGGGACACATGTTGATGAAGAAGAGGGGACACATGTTGATGAAGAAGAGACATGAAGAAGAGGGGACACATGTTGATGTAGGAGAGACATGAAGAAGAGGGGACACATTGATGTAGAAGAGACATGAAGAAGAGGGGACACATGTTGATGTAGAAGAGACATGAAGAAGAGGGGACACATGTTGATGTAGAAGAGACATGAAGAAGAGGGGACACATATTGATGTAGAAGAGACATGAAGAAGAGGGGACACATGTTGATGTAGAAGAGATATGAAGAAGAGGGGACACATGTTGATGAAGAAGAGGGGACACATGTTGATGAAGAAGAGACATGAAGAAGAGGGGACACATGTTGATGTAGGAGAGACATGAAGAAGAGGGGACACATGTTGATGTAGGAGAGACATGAAGAAGAGGGGACACATGTTGATGAAGAAGAGACATGAAGAAGAGGGGACACATGTTGATGAAGAAGAGACATGGAGAAGAGGGGACACATGTTGATGAAGAAGAGACATGAAGAAGAGGGGACACATGTTGATGTAGAAGAGACATGAAGAAGAGGGGACACATGTTGATGTAGAAGAGACATGAAGAAGAGGGGACACATGTTGATGTAGAAGAGACATGAAGAAGAGGGGACACATGTTGATGTAGAAGAGACACTGTTGATGTAGAAGAGACATGAGAGGGACACATGTTGATGAAGAAGAGACATGAAGAAGAGGGGACACATGTTGATGTAGAAGAGACATGAAGAAGAGGGGACACATGTTGATGTAGAAGAGACATGAAGAAGAGGGGACACATATTGATGTAGAAGAGACATGAAGAAGAGGGGACACATGTTGATGTAGAAGAGATATGAAGAAGAGGGGACACGTGTTGATGAAGAAGAGACATGAAGAAGAGGGGACACATGTTGATGAAGAAGAGACATGAAGAAGAGGGGACACATGTTGATGAAGAAGAGACATGAAGAAGAGGGGACACATGTTGATGAAGAAGAGACATGGAGAAGAGGGGACACATGTTGATGAAGAAGAGACATGAAGAAGAGGGGACACATGTTGATGTAGGAGAGACATGAAGAAGAGGGGACACATGTTGATGAAGAAGAGACATGAAGAAGAGGGGACACATGTTGATGTAGAAGAGACATGAAGAAGAGGGGACACATGTTGATGAAGAAGAGACATGAAGAAGAGGGGACACATGTTGATGAAGAAGAGACATGAAGAAGAGGGGACACATGTTGATGAAGAAGAGACATGAAGAAGAGGGGACACATGTTGATGAAGAAGAGACATGAAGAAGAGGGGACACATGTTGATGAAGAAGAGACATGAAGAAGAGGGGACACATGTTGATGTAGAAGAGACATGAAGAAGAGGGGACACATGTTGATGAAGAAGAGACATGAAGAAGAGGGGACACATGTTGATGTAGAAGAGACATGAAGAAGAGGGGACACATGTTGATGAAGAAGAGACATGAAGAAGAGGGGACACATGTTGATGAAGAAGAGACATGGAGAAGAGGGGACACATGTTGATGAAGAAGAGACATGAAGAAGAGGGGACACATGTTGATGTAGGAGAGACATGAAGAAGAGGGGACACATGTTGATGAAGAAGAGACATGAAGAAGAGGGGACACATGTTGATGAAGAAGAGACATGAAGAAGAGGGGACACATGTTGATGAAGAAGAGGGGACACATGTTGATGAAGAAGAGACATGAAGAAGAGGGGACACATGTTGATGTAGGAGAGACATGAAGAAGAGGGGACACATTGATGTAGAAGAGACATGAAGAAGAGGGGACACATGTTGATGTAGAAGAGACATGAAGAAGAGGGGACACATGTTGATGTAGAAGAGACATGAAGAAGAGGGGACACATATTGATGTAGAAGAGACATGAAGAAGAGGGGACACATGTTGATGTAGAAGAGATATGAAGAAGAGGGGACACATGTTGATGAAGAAGAGGGGGACACATGTTGATGAAGAAGAGACATGAAGAAGAGGGGACACATGTTGATGTAGGAGAGACATGAAGAAGAGGGGACACATGTTGATGTAGGAGAGACATGAAGAAGAGGGGACACATGTTGATGAAGAAGAG